TTTGATTTTTTTCCATTATTATTTCCATTATTTCGGAGAATATTTTTTATTATTATTATTTTGATTTTTTCCTCTTTTTTCATTACTTCAGATAATAATTTTACCATTATTTTGATTTTTTCCCATTATTTCAGATAATATTTGTTATTATTATTTTGATTTTTTCCATTATTTTGGATATTATTTATTATTATTATTATTGTAATTTTTCCATTATTTTCCCCATTATTTCAGATAATATTTTATTATTTTTATTTTTTCCATTATTATTTCCATTATTTCGGAGAATATTTTTTATTTTATTTTTCCATTATTTTTTCCATTATTTTTGTGATTATTTTGAGAAATATAATATCGAGGTGCGGTTTCCACTCTGTCCACAGGAGGGCAGCACAGAGGCGTCTCGACGGCTCAAGGGCGCGTTTCCCTATCTGGCCACTTGGTGGCAGCAAAAGATTGCCACTTGATTGCCATCTCAAGGCAAGTGCAAATATTCCTGTGTCCACAAGAGGGCGGCAATGGGAAAGGCCATTAGGATATAACCTGCCATTTCATTTGTATAATTGAGATATTACCATTTTAAATAACAACAACAATAATTTATTTATTTACCTTACTTCTATACGGCTGTTCTCAGCCCGAAGGCGACTCACAGCGGTTCACAACAAATACGAACAGCAAAAATTCAGTGCTACAGTATAGAAACAGTTAACAACCTAACACATTACACAATTAATAAACAGTTACTACAATACCCATTCACTGTCATCTCGTCATCAAAAACATGTTCCAGATTCGTCATCCATTGTTCCATTCCAGTGTTCATTAACCAATCATTGCACTAATTATTCGAACGCCTGCTCAAACAGCCAGGTCTTCACTTTTTTGCGGAATACCATTAGAGATGGTGCTAGTCTAATGTCCGTAGGAAGGGCGTTCCACAGCCGAGGAGCCACCACCGAGAAGGCCCTATCTCTCGTCCCCGCCAGCCGTGCTTGAGAAGCAGGCGGGATCGAGAGCAGGGTCTCCCCGGAAGATCTCAAAGTCCTGGTGGGCTCATAGGCAGAGATGCGGTCGGATAGGTAGCTTGGGCCGGAACCGTTTAGGGCTTTAAAGGCCAACGCCAGCACTTTGAATTGAGCCCGGTAGCAGATCAGTAGCCAGTGGAGTTGGCGCAACAGGGGGGTTGTATGCTCCCTGCGCTCCGCTCCTGTTAAAATCATGGCTGCCGAGCGTTGGACTAGTTGGAGATTCCGAGCTGTCTTCAAAGGCAACCCCACGTAGAGAGCGTTGCAGTAGTCTAAACGGGATGTAACCAGAGCGTGGACTACCGTGGCCAAGTCAGACTTCCCAAGGTACGGGCGCAGCTGGCACACAAGCTTTAGCTGTGCAAATGCTCCCCTGGTCACCGCCGAAACCTGGGGTTCCAGGCTCAGCAATGAGTCCAGGGTCACACCCAAGCTGCGAACCTGCGTCTTCAGGGGGAGTGCGGCCCCATCCAACACAGGCTGTAACCCTATGCCCTGTTCGGCCTTGCGACTGACCAGGAGTACCTCTGTCTTGTCTGGATTCAATTTCAATTTGTTGTCCCTCATCCAGACCGTCACAGCGGCCAAGCACCGGTTCAGGACCTGGACAGCCTCCTTAGTAGCAGGTGGGAAGGAGTGACAGAGTTGGACATCATCCGCGTACAGATGACACCGCACCCCGAAACAATCTTATAACAATAAGATGTTGACTCATTGTCTACAATAATATGGACAATAACAAAAACAACAACAACAATATAATTGCTCCCCTCCGCTTTCTCTGCAATAGCACCGGGATTGTGGCGCAGCTGGCTGAGTGTCAGCTGCATTAAGATCACTCTGACCAAAAGGTCATGAGTTCGAAGCCAGCCCGGGCTGGAGTGGGTGTCCAGCCATTGTGTAGCCCGTTGTCGACCTTTGCAACCCGAAAGACAGTTGCATCTGTCAAGTAGGAAAATAAGGGAGGCTAAATTTAACTAATTTATGAGGCCATAAAGAAAGAAGACTCCGGGGAATGTGGAATGCGGAAGAACTTCATCGGTGTCGTTGATGGACGATGAAAAGCAGCAGCTCCCCTGGCGGCCAGAAAAAAAAGTTAAATAGCCTTTGTCTGTTAAATGTTGTTTGTCAAACTGGCATTGAATGTTTGCCATATATGTGTTTACTGTAATTCGCCCTGAGTCCCCTGCGGGGTGAGAAGGGCGGAATATAAGAACTGTAAATAAATAAATAATAAATAAATAAATACTTCTAAGAAGAAGAAGAAGAAGTCCCAGCAGACTGGAGGAGGGCCAATGTGGTCCCAATCTTCAAGAAGGGAAAAAAGGATGACCCAAACAACTACCGATGTCCGGTCAGCCTCACGTCGATACCAAGCAAGATTCTGGAAAAGATGGTCAAGGAAGTGGTCTGCAAGCACTTAGAAACAAATGCGGTCATCGCTAATACTCAACATAGATTTATCAAAAACAAGTCATGCCAGACTCATTTTTTTTCTTCAAAGGGGTGTTTTTTTTTATTTGAACAAAATACACACCAGACCTCACACTGCAATATATTACGTGTTCGTGACACATATGGTACAACAAGCTTATCAACATACTAAAAAACAAAACAAAACAGAAAACCAACTTTAATGAGCAACATGGATTCACTAGACCACAAACTAAAAGCCTGGTGGGACACAGAAAAAAATAGCTCACATACACACTGTGCTGTTCAATAAACATCTCAGACTGGATGGGCATCCAAATCGCCATTCAGTATTGGTAAGCAAGCAGTGGCTACAGAGGGAGGATAAATTTCCACATTCCCAGAAGTGTATCTTGGATTAAACAATCTGTAAAAGGTTGTATTCCTTGCAAACAAAGGGAAAATGCAGGTACAACCACAGCAAAGGTAGAATGTGATGCTGGAGAAAATCATTCCAGGTGACTGATTTAGTTCCTGCTGACAGGTTTAAGGGACGCTAAAGTGATAGGAGATGCTGAAGGTGCAGAAGAGCATGGCAGGACAGCCAGGTGCCTGAATGTTTTTGCAGTTTCCATGGCCATTGTGTCCCTCATCGTTTCCATCATTGTGTTGGCCACGACTATGGCATTCATCTTTAGCAGATTCATGGATGCAGTTGATGCCCATGAGCACGGCACCCATGCCAGACTCATCTGATCTCTTTTTTCGATAGAGTTACAAGCTGGGTAGATGCGGGGAATGCCGTGGATGGAGCGTGTCTGGATTTCAGGAAGGCCTTCTTCGACAAGGTCCCCCATGACCTTCTGGCAAGGAAACTAGTCCAATGTGGGCGAGGCAAAACTACGGTGAGGTGGATCTGGAATTGGTTAAATGGACGAACCCAGAGGGTGATTCTCCCCAAGGCTTCCTCTTCATCCTGGAAAGAAGTGACAAGTGGAGTGCCGCAGGGTTCCCATCCTGGGCCCGGTCCTGCCCAGGATCTTTATTAATGACTTAGATGAAGGGCTAGAAGGCAGGATCATCAAGTTTGCAGACGACACCAAATTGGGAGGGATAGCCAATACTCAAGAGGACAGGAGCAGGATTCAAAACGATCTTGACAGATTAGAGAGATGATGGCCGAAAACTAACAAAATGAAGTTCAACAGAGACAAATGCAAGATAATCCACTTTGGCTGGAAAAACGAAATGCAAAGATACAGAATGGGGGACAATGCCTGGCTCGAGAGCAGTACATGTGAAAAGGATCTTGGAGTCCTTGTGGACAACAAGTTAAACATGAGCCAACAATGTGATGTGGCGGCAAAAAAAGCCAATGGGATTTTGGCCTGCATCAATAGGAGCATAGTGTCTAGATCTAAGGAAGTAATGCTACCCCTCTATTCTGCTTTGGTTAGACCACACTGGAATATTGTGTCCAATTCTGGGCACCACAATTCAAGAGAGATATTGACAAGCTGGAATGTGTCCAGAGGAGGGCGACTAAAATGATCAAGGGTCTGGAGAACAAGCCCTATGAGGAGCGGCTTAAGGAGCTGGGCATGTTTAGCCCGAAGAAGAGAAGGCTGAGAGGAGATATGATAGCCATGTATAAACATGTGAGAAGAAGCCACAGGGAGGAGGGAGCAAGCTTGTTTTCTGCTTCCCTGGAGACTAGGAACAATGGAACAATGGCTTCAAACTACAAGAGAGGAGATTCCATCTGAACATGAGGAAGAACTTCCTGACTGTGAGAGCCGTTCAGCAGTGGAACTCTCTGACCCGGAGTGTGGTGGAGGCTCCTTCTTTGGAAGCTTTTAAACAGAGGCTGGATGGCCATCTGTCAGGGGTGATTTGAATGCAATATTCCTGCTTCTTGGCAGAATGGGGTTGGACTGGATGGCCCATGAGGTCTCTTCCCACTCTGTGATTCTATATTGTTCTGTACAGTTCTCTTTCATAACAGTCTATTTCCAAGGGACTCAAGGCTATGGCTGACATCTCAGGCTGAAGTAGTCTGCAGTGCCTTTCGTGTTCCTTGATTCGTATTTCTCATTACTTTATTTTCCAGATAACCAGACTGGGCCACAGCAAAGCGTGGCAGGGGATGGCTAGTGTCTAAAAAAAAATGACACAATAAACCCGGAAACACCGTCTCCACGCAGACCTATACTATGTCTAACCTTTTTCATTGTTCTGTCTGCGCGCCCGCGGTTGTGCGCATGCGTATTGGATATACCCGGAAACACCGTCTGCACGCAGACCTATGCTACGTCTAAACTTTTGCATTGCTCTGTCGGCGCGACCGCGGTTGTGCGCATGCGGATTGGATAAACCCGGAAACACCGTCTGCACGCAGACCTATGCTACGTCTAAACTTTTGCATTGCTCTGTCGGCGCGCCCGCGGTTGTGCGCATGCGGGTTGAATAAACCCGGAAACACCGTCTGCACGCAGACCTATGCTACGTCTAAACTTTTACATTGCTCTGTCGGCGCGCCCGCGGTTGTGGGCATGCGGGTTGGGGGGACTGCGCATGCGCGCTCCCGTCGCTGAGGAAACGCCTGGCCGGGGCAGGAGAGGAAGGGGGAAGTAGGCCGCGGTGGGAGCCGGGGCCTCGCGTAGATGTCTTCCCCGGAGGAGGCGCGGGTGGCGCCGGTGTCGGCGGCGGACCTTCCTCCGGAGTGGGAGGCGGACGAGGAGCGGATGGCGTTCCTCTTCTCGGCCTTCAAGCAGAGCCGCGAGGTGAACGCCACCGAGTGGGACAGCAAGATGGGCTTCTGGAGCGAGCTGGTGCTGAAGTGGGGCCGGCGCCGCCGCCTTGGAGGGGTCCGCACCTGCCTCCGGGAGCTGCAGCAGGCCTTCGAGCGGCGGGGGAGCCTCCCCCTCGGCCTCGGCACCGTCCTCCGGGAGATGCTCAGGTCCTGGCCTCGCCCTCTGCTCCTCTTGTTTGGCCTTGGCGTGTTGTCCAAGCCTTTCCTGGCCGGAACTGTGAGGTTTTGCGGCCTGTCTGGCCATGTTCCAGCAGCATTCTCTCCTTGGGAGAGAATCAAGAAAGTAAATAAGGAACACCACTCAGAAATTCGAACTCCAGACAGCAAACAATCCAAACAGAGGATGCCTCCAGGCCAGAACAGCCAGGCTACCTCTATAACAGTGTTTCTCAACTTTGCTAATGTTCCTCATGTTGTGGTGAACCCCAACCATAACATTGGGTTGTTTGTTGTAGGTTTTTTTGGGCTATATGGCCATGTTCTAGAGGCATTACTCCTGACGTTTCGCCTGCATCTATGGCAAGCATCCTCAGAGGTAGTGAGGTCTCTTGGAACTAGAAAATGGGTGTGAATGTTTCAGCTGACCACCTTCATTAGTATTTGCAAGGCCTGGCTGAGCCTGGGAAAATGTTCTGTTGAGAGGGGTTAAGATGTGCCTGGTTGTTTCCTCTCTGCTGTTTTGCTGTAGTAATTTTAGAGTTTTTTTTAATACTGGTAGCCAGATTTTGTTCATTTTCATGGTCTCTTCCTTTCTGTTGAAATTGTCCACATGCTTGTGGATTTCAATGGCTTCTCTGTGTAGTCTGACATGGTGGTTGTTGGTGTGGTCCAGCATTTCTGTGTTCTCAAATAATATGCTGTGTCCAGGCTGGTTCATCAGGTGCTCTGCTATGGCTGACTTCTCTGGTTGAAGTAGTCTGCAGTGCCTTCCATGTTCCTTGATGCGTGTCTGGGCGCTGCGTTTGGTGGTCCCTATGTAGACTTGTCCACAGCTGCATGGTATACGGTAGACTCCTGCAGAGGTGAGAGGATCCCTCTTGTCCTTTGCTAAACGTAGCATTTGTTGGATTTCCTTGGTGGATCTGTAGATTGTTTGTATGTTATGTTTCCTCATCAGCTACCCTATGCGCTCAGTGGTTCCCTTGATGTATGGCAGGAACACTAAAACACTTAAAAAACTCTAAAATTACAACTGCAAAACAGCAGAGAGGAAACAACCAGGCACATCTTAACACCTCTCAACAGAACATTTTCCCAGGCTCAGCCAGGCCTTCAAATGCTAATGAAGGTGGTCAGCTGAAACATTCACACCTAGCTCCAGCAGAGAGCTCTTTGTCCCACCCTGATCATTTCACAGATATATAAACCATTTTCCCTAGTTCCAACAGACTTCACTACCTCTGAGGATGCTTGTCATAGATGCAGGCGAAATGTCAGGAGAGAATGCCTCTAGACATGGCCATATAGCCCGAAAAAACCTAAAAGAACCTAGTGATTCCAGCCATGAAAGCCTTCAACAATACATTAAATAAGGAACACTTCTCAGAAATGGGAACTCCAGACAGCAAACAATCCAAATAGAAGATGCCTCCAGGCCAGAACAGCCAGGCTACCTCTATAACAGTGTTTCTCAACCTTGCTAATGTTCCTCATGTTGTGGTGAACCCCAACCATAACATTGGGTTATTTGTTGTAGGTTTTTTCGGGCTATATGGCCATGGTTTAGAGGCATTCTCTCCTGACGTTTCGCCTGCATCTATGGCAAGCATCCTCAGAGGTAGTGAGGTCTGTTGGAACTAGGAAAAAGGGTTTATATATCTGTGGAATGACCAGGGTGGGACAAAGGACTCTTGTCTGCTGGAGCTAGGTGTGACTGTTTCAACTGACCACCTTGATTAGCATTTGATAGCCTGGCAGTGCCTGGGGCAATCTTTGGTTGAGAGGTGATTAGAGGTCCCTGATTGTTTTCCCTTTGCTGTTTTGCCATTTTAATTTTAGAGTTTTGTAATACTGGTAGCCAGATTTGAGTCACAACCACCATGTCAGAGTACTCAGAGAAGCCATTGAAATCCACAAGCATTCTCTCCTGACGTTTCGCCTGCATCTATGGCAAGCATCCTCAGAGGTAGTGAGGTCTGCTGGAAGTAGGAAAAATGGGTTTATATATCTGTGGAATGACCAGGGTGGGACAAAGAACTCTTGTCTGCTGGAGCTAGGTGTGAATGTTTCAACTGACCCCCCTGATTAGCATTTGGTAGCCTGGCAGTTCCTGGGGCAATCTTTTGTTGAGAGGTGATTAGATTATTATTACTTACTTACTTAGGCGATCCCTCGTTGGACGACTAAGATTTACTTATCGTGTCATCCGCAACTAGAACATTGTATTGCATTTCTAACAGAAAAAAACCCAAACAAACAGACAAAAAAACAAATTTTACAAGATCGGTAGTGGATTAAATGGCCTTTGACCGGTATCTGGCCACTTGGAGTGCTTCTGGTGTTGTTATTATTATTTTATTTATTATTTACTAGGAACTAGGAAAAAGGGTTTATATATCTGTGGAAAGACCAGGATGGGACAAAGGACTCTTGTCTGTTGGAGCTAGGTGTGAATGTTTCAACTGACCACCCTGATTAGCATTTGATAGCCTGGCAGTGCCTGGGGCAATCTTTGGTTGAGAGATGATTAGATGTCCCCGATTGTTTCCTCTCTGTTGTTTTGCTGTTTTAATTTTAGAGTTCTATAATACTGGTAGCCAGATTTGGGTCACAACCACCATGTCAGACTACACAGAGAAGCCATTGAAATACACAAGCATGTGGACAATTTCAACAGAAAGGAGGAAACCATGAAAATGAACAAAATCTGGCAGCCAGTATTAAAAAACTCTAAGATCTACAGAGACACTTGCTGGAACACCTCAGCAAGCGAGAGTCCAAAAGTGGCAGGCTCAAACCCAGAACCTCAATCCATGGCTGATACCCAATGAGAGACTCCCCCCTGGGCACACAGAAGACTGGGCGACGTGAAGGCGCTGAACAGACTGCGCTCTGGCACCACGAGATGCAGAGCCAACCTCAAGAAATGGGGCCACAAATTGGAATCCACAACATGTGAGTGTGGAGAAGAACAAACCACTGACCACCTGCTGCAATGCACCCTGAGCCCTGCCACATGCACCATGGAGGACTTCCTTGCGGCAACACCAGAGGCACTCCAAGGGGACAGATACTGGTCAAAGGACATTTAATCAACTGCCAAGCTTGCAAACTCTGTGTTTTGTCTGTCTGTTTGTTTTGTTAAAAATGTAATACAAATGTCTGGTTGCTCCTGACACGATAAATAAATAAATAGTTGAAAAATTCACACCTAGCTCCAACAGACAAGAGTTCTTTGTCCCACCCCGGTCATTCCACAGATATATAAACCCTTTTTCCTAGTTCCAACAGACCTCACTACCTCTGAGGATGCTTGCCATAGATGCAGGCGAAACGTCAGGAGAGAATGCCTCTAGAACATGGCCATATAGCCCCAAAAAACCTACAAATGGCCAGGGATTTTGGCCATGAAAGCCTTCGGCAATACACTTCCCATTTCTGTTTGGTATCCTGCAGTGACTTCAGTTGTGCTGCCCTTTGTCACATTGATGTCTTTCTCTTCCCTCAGGCGGGGCAAGTTGCAGAGGGAGTCTGACTTCATGGCCAGCGTGGACAGCAGCTGGATCTCTTGGGGCGTCGGGGTTTTCATCCTGAAGCCCCTGAAGTGGACGCTCTCTAGTGTCCTTGGAGACAACAAAGTGCCGGAGGAGGAGGAAGTTCTGATTTATGTGGAGTTGCTTCAGGTAGACATTTCAAAAATTCCTTGAGTTGCCCATACGATGAAGAAATTGCTGATAATTGCATTAGGTAATATTGGGTGGATGTTCTTTTCTTCTTCTTCTTCTGAAAGGTTTTTGTTGAGTGGAATTAATGGGATATAGAATATAAAAAGGAGAAACATCTAAAGATAGTCACATACATCTAATATAGGTATATCATTGATATATAACCACTAGGCCTGTGCGGTTTCGTTCGTTAATTCGTTAATTCGTTATTAATTCGTTATTTTTACCATTTCCGAAGCGATATTGAAACATATTTCCAAACCCGGAAGGGTTTTTAAATATCGAACCAGCAACCCCCATAGTTTTAACGAGCCTCCGCTTGTTTCGTTAATGGGGTGGAGGCTGCTGGAGTGCTGGTGCATGGGAGCCAATCCGGCGCTCCCAAACAGTGCACCATGGGTCCGTGGCTGCCTGTTTTTGATTGGCCGGCGAGCCCTTTCAAAGCGGCTGCGCGGCCCGTAGCTTCAAGAGGGCGAGGGAGTTTGCATTGGGTTGGCTTGGCAATGGCTGCTAGCAACTTGGATTGGATTCATTCTTTGCTGCTGTGAGTGCTGCTTGCTTCATTTGCTGTCTCTTGCCTGTGTTTGGTCCACATTTGGGCCATTTTTTGGTTAATTTTCCATTTAAAAATATTTTTTAATATTATTTTAATATTATTCTTAAGAAATACCAAAAATATTCTAAAAATTCGTTAATATTTACAAAATTTCTTAAATACCAAAACTTTTTTTTTGGAAAGTTTTGTAATTATTTTAAATATCGAAACAAAAAAACACCCCAATTACAAATCGATTTTAGAAACAATTTTTTTCTTGATCAAACAGGCCTAATAACCACTTTTCTTGACATCCCTCCAGCAAAGCAAGGGTATCTCTCTGGGCAGCTCAACCAGGATATCCCAACTGGATGGCCCCCCCACGAGAGAGGGTCTTCCTCCAGGGGCAAACCAAGAATGGGCAACTTGGAAGTCCCTGAACAGACTCAAAAGTGGAGTGGGCAGGTCAAAAGACAACCTGGCAAAATGGCACGACCTAAAATAATCCCATACCTTGTGTGATTGTGGACCAGAAGAGAGAACTCTGCAACTATATGCTTGTCCATTGTGCCCTGCCTCATGTACAGAGGAGGAATTGTTGGAGGCTACAGACAATGCCATTGCTGTTGCCCGGTTTTGGTCAAAAGATATTTAGCCACCTGCACACCTTCTATTTTTATCAGTTTCATACTAATTTATGCAATGCTTTTGGTACGAAATAATAATAATAATAATCGTTCCCCCAAACAAATACTCTGCAATATTCTAATCTTTCCCCTCCTACCCCCACCCGTGAGCTCACCACCCATAATAATAATCATCATCATCATCATCATCATCATCTTTATTTATACCCCACCACCATCTCCCCGCTGGGGACTTGGGGCAGCTTACTTGAGGCCAAGCCCAGACAACAAATTACAGCAAAATAAAAATGAAAATGAAAACAATAAACAACATCATGATTACATAAAACATATGAATGCATAACGATATAAAATTACAGTAAACACAATCACAGTGACAATGGGCAGACTACATGTAATGATTAAAGGAAAAACTAATTAAAAACCGATTAAAAACGGGTGAGATAAAGGAGTAGCAGGTTATTTGCAGAGGAGGGCTCATTAAATTGGGTGGTTGTGGAATCAGGCTTTCCCACAAAGTGGGGGACACGTATACTCCAATGACAGAACATTGAGGCTAAGCAATACACACTATTGCTTAGCCTCAATGTTCTGTCATTGGAGTATACGTGTTATATACACACAGGTTATATGCCTGCTCACCAAAGGCGCAGAGGAAGAGCCAGGTCTTAAGGTTCTTTTTAAAGGTTTCTAGGGTAGGGGCTTTCCTAATCTCTCCAGGTAATGAGTTCCAGAGTCGGGGGGCCACAGAGGAAAAATCTCTCTCCCTTGTGCTTACAAGGCGAGCTTGTGAAACTGGCAGGGGCGAAAGAAGGGCCTCCCCAGAAGATCGGAGGGCCCAGGTTTGTTCATGGAGGGAGATACGGTCACGAAGGTAGGCGGGTCCCAAATCATTCAGGGCTTTGTAGGTGAGAACCTGCACCTTGAATTGGGACTGGAAAATAAGCGGCAGCCAGTGGAGCTCCTTAAACAAGAGGGTTGACCGCTTTCTGTAAGTCGCTCCAGTTATTAATCTGGCTGCCAAACGTTGGACAAGTTATTGTCGAAGGCTTTCATGGCTGGAATCACTAGGTTCTTGTGGGGTTTTTTGGGCTATAGGGCCATGTTCTAGAGGCATTTCTCCTGACGTTTCGCCTGCATCTATGGCAGGCATCCTCAGAGGTAGTGAGGTCTGTTGGAAATAGGACAATGGGTTTATATATCTGTGGAATGGCTGGGGTGGGGCAAAGAGCTCTTCTCTGCTGGAGCTAGGTGGGAATGTTTCAACTGACCACCTTCATTAGCATTTGAAGGCCTGCCTGAGCCTGGGAAAATCTTTTGTTGACAGGTGTTAAGATGTGCCTGGTTGTTTCCTCTCTTCTGTTTTGCTGTTGTAATTTTAGAGTTTTTTAATACTGGTAGCCAGATTTTGTTCATTTTCATGGTCTCTTCCTTTCTGTTGAAATTGTCCACATGCTTGTGAATTTCAATGGCTTCTCTCTGTAGTCTGACATGGTGGTTGTTGGTGTGGTCCAGCATTTCTGTGTTCTCAAATCCACCCAGAGGAAAAGTGTTCTTGCCATACATCAAGGGAACCACTGACCGCATAGGGAAGCTGATGAGGAAACACAACATACAAACAATCTACAAACCCACCAAGAAAATCCAACAAATGCTTCGTTCAGCAAAGGACAAGAGGGATCCTCTCACCTCTGCAGGAGTCTACCGTGTACCATGCAGCTGTGGACAAGTCTACATAGGGACCACCAAACGCAGCAATGCCCAGACACAAATCAAGGAACATGAAAGGCACTGCAGACTCCTTCAACCAGAGAAGTCAGCCATAGCAGAGCACCTGATGAACCAACCTGGACACAGCATTTTATTTGAGAACACAGAAACTGGTGCTCCTTACAGGGAGAGGTCAACCCTCCTGTTTAAGGAGCTCCACTGGCTGCCATTCATTTACCGGGCCCAATTCAAGGTGCAGGTGCTTACCTACAAAGCCCTAAATGGTTTGGGACCCATCTACCCGCGTGACTGCATTTCTGTATACAAACCCACACGATCTCTTCGTTCATCTGGAGAGGCCCTGCTCACGATCCCACCTGCATCGCAAGCGCGATTGGTGGGGACGAGGGACAGGGCCTTTTTGGTGTTGGCCCCATAACTCTGGAATTCCCTCCCCAAGGACATCAGGCAAGCCCCAACATTGGCAGTCTTTAGAAGGAGCTTGAAAACGTGAATGTTCCAGTGTGCCTTCCCAGAATAAGGAATCCTAAGCAATATGTCCCAAATGCACTTTATGAGAGACTTAGAATTGTCTGCACGCCCACCTATCCTAAAATATCCATCCTATTTCCCTTGGACGTGCCCAGCATTTTTAATTTTAACTCTTGCACTTGGCCCTGACACAGGTTTTTAAATGTGTTGTGTCATTACTGTATTGTTTTTTGCTTTGTTATGAGTTATTTATTGTTGTATTGATGTTGTTATGCTTTTATGATGTATTTGGGCTCGGCCTCTTGTAAGCCGCACTGAGTCCTGCGGGGGATGGTAGCGGGGTATAAATAAAGGTGTATTATTATTATTATTATTATTATTATTATTTATATACCGCTCCATCTCCCCCAGGGGACTCAGGGCAAATTGACAGAGAAAAACAGAAGATAAATATTCTATCGAATAATATTTTTCTTTGGAGGACAATGGGAAGTCGTATATCCCCCCCCCCCCTTTTTTTTTGTTCATTTTTTGGGGGTTTTTTGTTTTTTTGTTTTGCTTTTGTTTCTTTCTCTCCCACTCTTCCTGCTTGTTCGTCTTCTTTTCCTTTCCCTTCGCTTTCGCTGTAAACCTTACTGTAACAAAATAAAAAACTATTTGGAAAGAAAACAACAACACATATACATTAATTTAAGTTCATAACTTGATTGTGTGGAGTCTAAGTTCATAAAAGAATAGGAATGACTGTGATGGCTAAATCAACTGTCCTTTTCCATCCTCTTGTATCGTCATCCTTTTCTTGTTACTGTACAGTTAAGGTACTACCGGTCTCTGAACTCTGTGAGGATATTAAACATTAGTTTTCCTCTTGTATCGTCATCCTTTTCTTGTTACTGTACAGTTAAGGTACTACCGGTCTCTGAACTCTGTGAGGATATTAAACATTAGTTTGTAATTGACATCAAGCCTAGAAGTAGGACATGCTGTTCAAAGTTGGCAATTCCTTTCTTTAGGAAAAGGCGGAAGAAGTGTACCACCTCTACCAGAATTCCACACTTTCATCCCATCCTGTTGTCGGCCTGTCAGAGCTGCGTTCCCTTTGCACCAGCATCTGTCCCGATGAAAGGACGTTCTGCCTAGTTCTGCTCCAGCTGCAGAAGGAAAAGAGGGTCACCGTTTTGGAGCAAAATGGCAGCAAGGTACAGAGAAAAAAGGGTGTTGTTGTTTTTTCGGGAATAGTTCCATACTTTGGTATATAGTGTGTTATAAAAACTAATACTTGAATCATGTTAGTATGTGCTGCAAAATGAATACCTTCAGCTAATATGTAATTTTTTTTTTCCTGATTTCAAAATTGTGCTTCAGGCAGTATATTTTCTCCCTTGTGCTGTGGTAGACACTAGGCCTGTGCGGTTTCGTTCGTTAATTCGTTATTAATTCGTTATTTTTGGCATTTCCGAAGCGATATTGAAACATATTACCAAACCCGGAAGGGTTTTTAAATATCGAACCAGCAACCCCCATAGTTTTAACGAGCCTCCGCTCGTTTCGTTAATGGGGTGGAGGCTGCTGGAGTGCTGGTGCCTGGGAGCCAATCCGGCGCTCCCAAGCAGTGCACCATGGGTCCGTGGCTGTCTGTTTTTGATTGGCCGGCGAGCCCTTTCAAAGCGGCTCCGCGCGGCCCGTAGCTTGCTGCAGAGGGCGAGGGAGTTTGCATTGGGTTGGCTTGGCAATGGCTGCTAGCAACTGGGATTGGATTCATTCCTTGCTGCTGTGAGTGCTGCTTGCTTCATTTGCTGTCTCTTGCCTGTGTTTGGTCCACATTTGGGCCATTTTTTGGTTAATTTTCCATTTTAAAATATTTTTAATATTATTTTTTAATATTATTTTTAATATTATTTTTAATATTATTTTTTAATATTATTCTTAAAAAATATTCTAAAAAAGAAAAGACTCTTCTGTTGGTGTGTGCTCTCATTTGCTGTCTCGTGGCTGTGTTTGGTCCACATTTGGGCCATTTTTTGGTTAATTTTCCATTTTAAAATATTTTTTAATATTATTTTAATATTATTCTTAAGAAATACCAAAAATATTCTAAAAATTCGTTAATATTTACAAAATTTCTTAAATACCAAAACTTTTTTTTGGAAAGTTTTGTAATTATTTTAAATATCGAAACAAAAAAACACCCCAATTACAAATCGATTTTAGAAACAAATTTTTTCTTGATCAAACAGGCCTAGTAGACACCATTCTGGAAATATTTTATTTATTAATTAATTTTATTTACTACATTTATATACCGCCCCTCTCAGCCCACAGGCGACTTGGAATGGTTTGCAGTCAATATCAAAGATGTAAAATACAATTTAAAAACTATCAATTTAAATATAAAAACCAAGGAAATTTATTTATTTATTTATTTCGGGTACTTCTACCCCGCCCTTCTCAACTCCCGAGGGGGGACTCAGGGCGGCTTACAACCGGCACAATTCGATGCCAACAATTCAACAGATAAAATACATAACAGCAATAACCACAATAGTTAAAACATTCAATTAATACAATAACAACTAAAAAGCCAATCTAGTGGCCAACGTTCACCAAGTTCTAAAATCCGTAAGTCCATTCAGCATTGCCATAGTCCTTCCCAAAATTCTGGTCGTCATTACCTTGTCAGTCTGCCAGATTACCCAAAGGCCTGGTCCCATATCCATGTTTTCAGCTTCCTTCTGAAGGAGAGGAGGGATGTTGATGACCTAATATTCCCGGGAAGTGAATTCCACAGGCGAGGGGCCACCACTGAGAAGGCCCTGTCCCTCGTCCCTACCAGCCTCACTTGTGATAGAGGCGGGGCCGAGAGCAGGGCCTCCCCAGAAGATCTTAAAACAATTCTTTGTCGAAGTCTTTCATGGTCAGAATCACTGGGTTGTTGTAGGTTTTTTCAGGCTATATGGCCATGTTCCAGAGGCATTCTCTCCTGACATTTTGCCTGCATCTATGGCAAGCATCCTCAGAGGTAGTGAGGCAAGCAGGTGAAACGTCAGCAGAGAATGCCTCTGGAACATGGCCATATAGCCTGAAAAAACCTACAACAACCCATCTTCTAGTTTGTTTGTTACAGATTCACAAATTGTTTTACCAGTATCTTAAATGATGGTTTCAGATCTCCATGATGCTATCCATGTAGATCTGTATAATGTTTATCCCACAACTGAATAGGCAAGACGAAAACAAGTGTATTGATTTTAATGCTTTTATTAGGTGTTTTAATTCTTACATTTCATGTTTTAAATGTCCTTTTATCTTATCTTATGGTGAATTGTCCTATTGATTTTATGCCTAGTTATATGTTGTTTTGAGTTTTGGTTTGTATGTAAAGCGTTGAATTTTACCGTTATTTTCGTGTAAACAACTCTGAGTCCCCTCGGGATGAGAAAAGCGGCATATTTATTTATTTAATACTGCAAATAAATAAATAAATAAATAAATAAATAGTGTAAAAGTAAATACTGCCCTTTTTAAATGAGAAACAGTTAGACCATGCTTAAACTTCAGGCTTTATGTGAAGTGATGTCATTGTCTTTCAGATCATGAAATTTGCTCGAGGACTTCACGCCAAAGTTTCTCCTGTGAATGATGTGGACATTGGGGTCTATCAGCTGATGCAGAGTGAACAGCTTCTGTCACAGAAAGTGGAGTCCTTGGCCCAAGAAGCAGAGAGGTGATTGATTGTACCGTTTATTTATAGAGAAATGACCTTTAAGCCATTGCTCAGCAGCATGCCTTAAGAAAAAGGATATCTCCACTCCCAGACTCTTTGAGGGAAACTTAAGATGGGCACTTGTTGCTTATTTATTTATCGTGTCATCCAGACCATTGTATTACATTTCTAACAGAACAAAACAAACAAACAGATAAAAAACCCCACAGATTTTGCAAAGCTTGGTAGTTGATTAAATGTCCTTTGACCAGTATCTGGCCCTTGGAGTGCCTCTGGTGTTGCCACAAGAAGGTCCTCCCTTGTGCATGTGGCAGGGCTCAGGGTGCATTGCAGCAGGTGGTCAGTGGTTTGCTCTTCTCCGCACTCGCATGTCGAGGATTCCACTTTGTGGCCCCATTTCTGAAGGTTGGCTCTGCATCTCGTGGTGCCAGAGCGCAGCCTGTTCAGTGCCTTCCAAGTCGCCCAGTCTTCTGTGTGCCCAGGGGGAGTCTCTCATTTGGTATCAGCCATTCATTGAGGTTCTGGGTTTGAGCCTGCCACTTTTGGACTCTCGCTTGCTGAGGTGTTCCAGCGAGTGTCTCTGTAGATCTAAGAAAACTATGTCTTGATTTAAATCGTTGATGCGCTGGCTGATACCCAAACAAGGGATGAGCTGGAGATGTCACTGCCTTGGTCCTTTCACTATTGGCTGCTACTTCCTGGCGGATGTCAGGTGGTGCAATACCGGCTAAACAGTGTAATTTCTCCAGTGTGTAGGGCGCAGACACCCCGTGATAATGCGGCATGTCTCATTAAGAGCCACATCTACTGTTTTAGCATGGTGAGATGTGTTCCACACTGGGCATGCATACTCAGCAGCAGAGTAGCATAGCGCAAGGGCAGATGTCTTCACTGTGTCTGGTTGTGATCCCCAGGTTGTGCCAGTCAGCTTTGCATGATATTGTTTCTAGCACCCACTTTCTGCTTGATGTTCAGGCAGTTGTTGCTAATGGAAAGGGATTTGCTTGATCATTATATACACAAATGTAAAAAGTACACTTATCACTGGGCCAAGTATGGAGGGAGAATACCAGTGGGTGGATGTAACAATCAATCAATCAAACAAACTTTATTTATATCCCACCCCATCTACCCATGGGGACTCGGGATGTTTAACAACATACAAGGCATACATTCAATGCCAGAAAAAAATATATATAAATAAAAATGTAATGTTTGTTTGTGGGATTAACATAACTCAAAAACCAATGGATGAATTGACACCAAATTTGGACACAATCACCTACCAGGCCAACGAGTGACCATCACTCATAAAAAAACACTGAAAAAAAACAGCGGAAGAGACTTAAAAAGTCAAAAAATAAAAATACATTACAATGCATGCACATCACCACATAAATACACATATACACAAATATATACACACAAAAAACATATATACACAGAGTAGGCCACAGCAGCACGTGGCAGGGGATGGCTAGTAAACAAAAAACCTTTGTGACCATATTTCCTTTTACAATCCTGCACAATCTCTTCGATCCTCGGGGGAGGCCCTCCTCTCGCTCCCACCTCCATCACAAGTGCGACTTGTGGACACGAGAGAGAGCCTTCTCCAATGTGGCCCCTTGGCTTTGGAACTCGCTTCCTAGTGAGATTAGGCAAGCCCCCACCCTGGCAGCCTTTAAGAAAGACCTAAAAACCTGGCTTTTCCGGCATGCCTTTGACAAGTGAACACATATCCCCATATCATGTCCATCCCAACTATAGTTCTGTCCTCATGACGCACTTTCCCTTGTCTTTAATGAAGGCTCAGTCCCATTGGTCACCCCTTCTGACACATAGTTCTCCATTTACTTACCTCATCCAGGGTTTTATTAATCTTATTCTGTGCATTTGGCCCACCCACCGTGCTTTTATTTTATTTCTTCATCACGTGACTTTGCATCTGTTTATTTCATTTTCTGTTATTTTCTGTATTTTATTTTGATGTTATTATTTGCTCTTTGTATTTTATTTTGTTGTACTGTAACTCTGGGCTTGGCCTCATGTTTGTTTGTTTACTGACTTACTTACTTACTGTATTTGTATACCGCCATTCTCAGCCCGTAGGCGACTCAAGGTGGTTAACAGGGAAAAATTTAATGCTTAAAATATCATAAATACAATTAAAAACATAGCATATAATAAAAATTAAACGTATCAATAAAATATAAATTCATAGTGTCACCTTGTTAAAAACGTCGTCCGGTCTCATTGTCGTTGCTCCATTTTCCTATGTCAGTTACTCTGCATTTGGTAACACTTGACTTTTTTCCAGAATGTTAAAAGGGAGGTGGCCGATCTAATATCTATAGGGAGGGTGTTCCATGTTGGCCACCCCGAGTCCACTTCGGGGAGATGGTGGCGGGGTATAAATAAAGGTTGTTGTTGTTGTTGTTGTAGGTCAACTATTATTATTATTTATTTTAAACATTTATATTCTGCCCTTGTTGTTGTTGTTATTGTTGTTAGTATTATTATCACTAGCTGTACCCGCCACGTGTTGCTGTGGCCAACCTTCCCTCTTTCTCTCCTTCTTTTCCTCCTTCCTTCACTCCCTCTTTCTTTCCTTCCTTCCCATCTTTCCTTTTCTTCTTCCTTCCTTCTCTATCTCTTTCCTTCCTTTCCCCTTTTCTTTCTCTTCTAGTCTCTTTTCTTCCTTCTCTCTTTCCTGCCTCCCTCTTTCTCTACATCTTCCCCCTTCCTTCACTCCCTCTTTCCTTCCTTCTTTCCCTTTTTTCTTTTTCTCTCCTTCCTTCCTTCCTTCTTTCCTTCCTTCCCCTTTTTCTTTCCCTTCCTCTTTCTCTCCTCTTCTCCTTCTCCCCCTTATGCTTCCTTCTCCCTTTCCTTCTTCCTTCCTTCCTTCCATCCTTCCTTCCTTTCTTTCTTTCCCTCTCTCTTTCTTTTCCTTTCCTTCTTTCTTTCCCTCCCTCTTTCTTTTTTTCCCTCCCCTTCCCTCCCTCTTTCTTCCTTTTTTCTGCATTGTCATTTACTTTTTTGTCATTTAGCTTTTGGGGGCTTTTTAAGTCCCTTCTGCTGTGTTTTTCAGTGTTTTATGAGTGATGGTCACTCCTTGGGTTGTTAGGTGTCTTGTGTCCAAATTTGGTGTCAATTCCCCCAGTGGTTTTTGAGTTCTGTTAATCCCACAAACAAACATTACATTTTTATTTATATAGATTAAATAGTATAAAAAGTTAATTATATAAACAATCACAATAAAGGACCAATAAAACACATTTCACAACATCAATAAAGACAAAAGCCAAACTGAGCAGTAAACATCTTATTTTTATAGATATAAAGAGGAAGCTCGGAGTGCGTGTCGAAGTGGGAAAAAGCAGCTGGTAAGTATTGGGCATATCCAGTTGGGCAGCTGAATTTGAAACTCAGAATGGTTTTTGCTGTCAATGTACCGCATGGGAGGTCAGCGAACGGGGCTGCCAAAGGGATGTGTGTGTTTCCAAAGTGACTTTAGTTTTGTGGTTTTCAGAGCTGGCGACTGTAGAGGCCGCCAACCTTATTGTTGAGGGAGATGAGTGGCTGAGTGTCTTATAATAGAATCCTAGAGTTGGAAGAGCCATGGGCCATCCAGTCCAACCCCATTCTGCCAAGAAGCAGGAATATTGCATTCAAAGCACCCCTGACAGATGGCCATACAGCCTCTGTTTAAAAGCTTCCAAAGAAGGAGCCTCCACCACTCTCTGGGGCAGAGAGTTCCACTGCTGAACGGCTCTCACACTCAGGAAGTTCTTCCTCATGTTCAGATGGAATCTCCTTTCTTTTAGTTTGAAGCCATTGTTCCATTGCATCCAGGGAAGCAGAAAACAAGCTTGCTCCCTCCTCCCTATGACTTCCTTTCACATATTTATACATGGCCCTCCTCATGTCTCCTCTCAGCCTTCTCTTCTTCAGGCTAAACATGTCCAGCTCTTTAAGCCGCTCCTCATAGGGCTTGTTCTCCAGACCCTTGATCATTTTAGTCGCCCTCCTCTGGACACATTCCAGCTTGTCAATATTTCTCTTCAAATGTGGTGCCCAGAATTGGATCTTGGAGGTCCTTCCTGGAGGGTCGTTCCCAGATGGTGAAGCTGGGGAACACCTTCTCAGACCCCTGGCCTTTGACCTGTGGGGTCCCGCAAGGTTCCATTCTGTCCCCCATGCTTTTCAACATCTACATGAAACCGCTGGGCGAGGTCATCCGGAGTTTTGGAGTTGGGTGCCATCTCTACACAGATGATGCCCAACTCTACTACTCTTTTCCACCTAACTCCAAGGAAGCCCCTCGGGTGCTGGATGAGTGTCTGGCCGCTGTGGCTGTCTGGATGAGGATGAATAAGCTGAGGATCAATCCTGACAAGACAGAGGTCCTCCTGGTCAATCGTAAGCTGGATTGGGGTATAGGGTGGTAACCTGTGCTGGATGGGGTTGCACTCCCCCTGAAGTCACAGGTCCGCAGCTTGGGTGTCCTCCTAGACTCATCGCTAATGCTTGAAGCTCAGGCGTCGGTGGTAGCTGGGAGGGCCTTTGTAAATTTAAGACTCGTGCGCCACCTGTGACCGTATCTCATGAAGTTGGATCTGGCTGGGGTGGTCGATGCCTTAGTCACCTCCATATTGGATTACTGTAATGCACTCTACGTGGGGCTGCCCTTGAAGAAGGCTCAGAATTTCAATAGGACCAACGGGCGGCAGCCAGCTTACTAACTGGGGCAACTTACAGGGAGAGGTCAACCCCCCCTGTTTAAGGAGCTCCATTGGCTGCCGTTCATTTTCCGGTCCCAATTCAAGGTGCAGGTTCTTACCTACAAAGCCCTGAACGGTTTGGGACCCGCCTACCTGTGTGACCATATTTCCAACTACGAACCCACATGATCTCTTCGATCATCTGGAGAGGTCTTGTGCTCGCTCCCACCTCCTTCACAGGTGCGATTGGTGGGGACAAGGGAGAGGGCCTTATCTATGGTGGCCCCCTGACTCTGGAACTCACTCCCTAAGGACATCAGACAAGCCCCCACATTGGCAGTCTTTAGGAGGGGCATGAAAATGTGGCTGTTCCAGTGTGCCTTCCCTGAATAAAGGAAACCATTCCCTGCAAATATCTTGAGATGCACTTTAATTACCCGTTAGGTTGTTCTTTACATGTTGTTTAAAACCCTCCTACTAGATACACCCTCTGTTCATGTCCAGCATTTATTTTTTAAAGTTTTAACTATTACATCTGGCCCGGCCATAGGTTTTTAAATCTTTGTGTGTTACTCTCTATGTGTGAGTTATATTAATTGTATTGTTTATTTTGCTTATTCCCTGTTGTTTTTATTGATGTGTTGTTGTTGGTCTTGGCCTCACGTAAGCTGCTCCGAGTCCCTTGGGGAGATGGTGGAGGGGTATAAATAAAGTATTATTATTATTATTATTATTATTATTATTATTATTATTAAAATAAACACCTTTGTTCTCAGGCGCTTAGATGTTTGAAATCCCGACGAAGAACAGAAAGACGCATCACAGAACTTCACTCTAAACTAGATGTGGTACAAGGCATCCTGGATCGGATATACGCCTCTCAGACAGATCAGATGGTATTCCTGCTTTTTAAAAGCATGTTGAATGTCTTGAAGTTTTGCTTGCAGAATGGTTTCATATTGAAAATAGTACCTCCTTATCACTACAGTATTGAACTAGTAGTCACTTGTGGACTGGTATTGACTTGCTGTCTGATATCCAAACCCAGGATGGGCCAGTGATCTCAATGCCTTGGTCCTTTCATTGCTGGCTGCTGTGCAATACTGGCCCAACAGTATAATTTCTCCAACAGTGTTAGGTGTAGACATTGTGTGATAATGTGGCGGCATTAAGAGCCACATCCACTGTTTTAACATGGTGAGATGTATTCCACACTGGGCATGCATATTCAGCAGCAGAGTAGCAAAGCTCAAACTCAGATGCCTTCACTGTATCTGGTTGTGATCCCCAGGTTGTGCCTGTCAGCTTTCGTATGATATTATTTATAGCATCCAATTTTTGCTTTGTATTCAAGCAGTGCTTCTTATAAGTCAGAGCACAGTCCAGAGTGACTCCCAGGTATTTGGGTGTGCTGTGATGCTCCTGTGACCATTTCAAATAACAACTCACCTTTTTTCCCCTTTCTCCTAAGGTATTTAATGCCTACCAGGCTGGAGTTGGAGCTCTCAAGCTGTCCATGAAAGATGTCACCGTGGAAAAAGCAGAGAACCTGGTGGATCAGATTCAAGAGGTACTGTAAGAAGTGGATACTCCTCTGACAAAGAGAGTGCATGTTAAATTGACTTACGCAACAGTTATTTCAAATCAGAGATCAGAAACATTTTTAATATCAGTTCTAAGTCATGCTGGCATTGCAAATAGAGTAATAGCTTATGTAGTTCAAATTTTTTATCAATTGTTAGTGATTCATAGGTAAAGGGTCAAGGTTTCCCCTCATATTAAGTCCAACAACTCTGGGTGTTGGTGCTCATCTCCATTTCTAAGCCGAAGAGCCGGCATTGTCCATAGACGCCTCCAAGGTCATGTGGCCGGCATGACTGCATGGAGCTCTTGTTACCTTCCCGCAGAAGTGGTACCTTTTGATCTACTCACATTTGCATGTTTTGGAACTTCTAGGTTGGCAGAAGCTGGGCCTAACAGCAGGAACTCACCCTGCTCCCCAGGTTTGAAACGTTGACCTTTCGGTCAGCGAGTTCAGCAGCTCAGAGGTTTAACCCACTGCCCATAATACAATGATACATAACCAGGTTTTATTTTTCTCCAGATGCCTGTGTGATGTAATGGCTAACAGTCTTGGCCTCAAATTCAGGAGCTAGATTAGGCAGGAAGCTCATTGGATGCTGATATATTAATGTATTGTTGAAGGCTTTCATGGCCGGAATCACTGGGTTGTTGTAGGTTTTTTCGGGCTATATGGCCATGTTCTAAAGGCATTCTCTCCTGATGTTTCGCCTGCATTTATGGCAAGTATCACCTCACTACCTCTGAGGATGCTTGCCATAGATGCAGGCAAAACATCAGGAGAGAATGCCTCTAGAACAGGGGTCCTCAAACTAAGGCCCGGGGGCCGGATACGGCCCTCCAAGGTCATTTACCCGGCCCTCGCTCAGGGTCAACCTAAGTCTGAAATGACTTGAAAGCACACAACAACAATAATCCTATCTCATCAGCCATTTCCCATTGAAATACTAATAAGCTTATATTTATTAAAATTGTTCTTTATTTTAATTATTGTATTGCTTTAAAGTGTTTTTTGCACTACAAATAAGATCTGTGCAGTGTGCATAGGAATTCATTCATGTTTTTTTCAAATTATAATCCGGCCCTCCAACAGTTTGAGGGACTGTGACCTGGCCTTCTGTATAAAAAGTTTGTGGACTCCTGCTCTAGAACATGTCCAGTTCTGGGCACCACAATTCAAGAGAGATATTGACAAGCTGGAATGTGTCCAGAGGAGGGTGACTAAAATGATCAAGGGTCTGGAGAACAAGCCCTATGAGGAGCGGCTTAAGGATCTGGGCATGTTTAGCCTGAAGAAGAGAAGGCTGAGAGGAGATGATAGCCATGTATAAATATATGAAAGGATGCCACAGGGAGGAGGGAGCAAGCATGTTTTCTGCTTCCTTGGAGATTAGGACGAGGAACAATGGCTTCAAACTACAAGAAAGGCGATTCCATCTGAACACGAGGAAGAACTTCCTGACTGTGTGAGCCATTCAGCAGTGGAACTCTCTGCCCTGGTGTGTGGTGGAGGCTCCTTCTTTGGAAGCTTTTAAACAGAGGCTGGATGGCCATCTGTCGGGGGTGCTTTGAATAAAATATTCCTGCTTCTTGGCAGAATGGGGTTGGACTGGATGGCCCACAAGGTCTCTTCCAACTCTAGGATTCTATGATTCTATGATATAGCCCGAAAAAACCTACAACAACCTGCTGATATATTAGTTTTTAAAAGTCTCAGAATTATTGAAATGGAGTTCCATGTGTGGTATTGTGAATTCCTTAAAAGAAAAGGGTGGAATAACAATGACGTAAACAATGAGTGCTCTTCCTTTTCCAGCTTTGTGACACTCAGGATGAAGTAGCCCAAACCTTGGCAGGAGTGGGACTCAATGGCTCAGGTGGGTTCATATTATTTAAGTCCCCATTGTTATTGTTAGATGAGGAAGAACTTCCTGACTGTGAGAGCCGTTCAGCAGTGGAACTCCCTGCCTCGGAGTGTGGTGGAGGCTCCTTCTTTGGAGGCTTTTAAACAGAGACTGGGTGGCCATCTGTTAGGGATGATTTGAATGCAATATTCCTGCTTCTTGGCGGAATGGGATTGAACTGGATGGCCCATGAGGTCTCTTCGAACTCTTTGATTCTATGATTTTTCTCCTTACAACACCACATCAGGACATTTGAAAACAGGCTTCTTCAGAACCTTATTGCCCTTTACAACAAGTATGACCACCGCTTACCCATTCCTGCTTTAAAGCACTCTTTGAGTTCATGGATTCGCTCCTTCCTCCCTTTGAGACATTGCAGTTCGTATTAGGCGAGTGGGCTTATTAACAAAAGACCCTCCTCATAAATGTACAGCAGAGTAACTTATTAGCAACGTCATGACCAGTAGCCAAAAGTGGTAAAAACAAAAACACACAGAACAATGTTATCTCTGCCTTAGGAGGCTTTTCTTTGTAGTAAAATAAAATGGTTGCACTATCTCCAATAACAAGCTTTCCATAACACAAATAAAGTTCTTTATACTTCCTTCTTTGCTTCCATGCTGGGCTTCTTTCTCACACAGATAAACAGCTTCACTCTCACTGAGCTTCCTCTCACACTGAACTTACACAGGAGCTTTACACAGGAGCTTTACACACAGCAACTGTTGCACTCCAGATCAGGAGACAGGGCCCTCTTGTCATTAATACACCACCAGGGGCGGCTTGTTCATTACGCAAAGTAAGCGGTCGCAGTACACTTTTTTTTGTCAGGGGCGCAGAGGCGCCTCTGTAAATGCCCCTCGACTGCCACTTGAGGAGCGCCCCCTCGGCTCACAACAGCCCTAGCAGTCCGGGGGGAGCCTCTTCAACCCATTACGAAAAGTAAGCATTTGCAGTATAGTTGATTTTGCCCAGGGGCACTCTTGAGGCGCTCTTGGGGGAAAATAGACCTTGACATATGCGACATTGTAGTTACTGGGATGTATAGTTCACCTACAATCAAAGAGCATTCTGAACTCCACCAATGATGGAATTGAACCAAATATGGCACACAGAACTCCCACGACAAACAGAAAATATATATCAATGATTGGTTGGGGGGGGGCAGCCAAAATACTGTTTGCTTACCATTAAAAATTACCTAGGGCCGTCTCTGTACACCACACCTTGGTTTAGGAAAAATGCAATCCTTTTTATTGAATGATGAATATAAAATAGAATGAAGTCCAAAGGTAAAAAAGCCAAAATGAAACAGCAAACAGCAAAGTCCAGAAAGTTTGCAGGAAATCCAAAGCAGTAATGTCCAGAAAACTCTTAATAGAAATCCATGAACAGATTAGCCCTTGGTAATCTCACCTGAAGCCAGAATTTCCCTTAGAGACATGACCACTGGAAACTGGAAAACCCATGAGGTTTGTACTTGATTCTATACAATGCTTGGTCTGAGGAAATCTCCCTCACGGGCACTCTTAAATCCCAGAAACTGATTCCGGCTAACTCTAATCTTTGGTTTCAGTTGTCGGATTCGCTCGGACCTACGTAAACATTGGGCCTCCCTGCGGTTCTGGCTTATCTCCAAACTGCGGCTATTATTATTGACCTGACCAGGTGTCAAGTTATCTTGCAAGCTCGGGCCAGGAGAAAAAGGGAGTGAATTCTCTTCTCTCGGTCTGACAGAAACTTTCTAATGAGAACTTGATTTTTTCCTTGAAGCCTCTAAATCAAAGCCTGTAGGATTTTTACTGCCCAAAGTGTCTCCATCTTGAGCCTTGTACTCATTGATCACTTCAGTCAAATTAGTCCCATCAACATTTGCATCAACATTAACATCAACGTGGGCATCAACATTAGGCAATACAGTCAGAGATTCAGGATCAGGTTCACATACAGGCTGAGTCCCAACAGTAGCCTTCACACTGAAGCTTCACACACTGGGGCCTTCTCACACTGAAGCCTACTAACACTGAGGCCTTCTCACACAGATCTTTCTCATACGGAGGCCTACTAACACTGAGGCCTACCTCACACTGAGGCCTTATCACACAGAAGGCTCTCTCACACTGAGGTGAACTAACACTGCGGCCTACTTGGCTACAGGCATGCCTGCTTATATTGAACTGCATCTTTTGCTGAGTCATTGCTACCATTTAACCCTTTCAGTGCTTGACTCAAATTTTTGTAATTAAAAATACCTAGTTAATTTTTAATATTTCTGACAGTTTCCTGCCTTTCTAACATTATTTCAAGAGTAGGCAATTGTAGCCCTTCTCACATTTTTGTCTTACGATTTCCTTTTAAAAGAATGTTCAAACTACATAAAATAGTGCCTTACTAACACATAATAACATAATAGGAAAAAAGAAATAGGAAACACCAAGCAAAAGCAAAGAAAGAACAAAAGGAAAGTTGCAGCAAGATGAATGGGACTTTGCATGTTCTTTCCAGCAATTATTCAAACATTTAGTTCCTACCTCTATTCACAAATCTCTTTATAAGTCAAGCCTACTAATAATCCAAATCAAAACTTTCTAAAACATACCAACGTTCTACAAAGTGTTGATAAATGCTTGGGACCGTGCTAAAAAGATTTGCATACATTTGCATATATTTTAATCTAATGTACACTATGATAACTTCAAATAAAGATTATATTTTTTTTAAAAAAGAGTTAGAGGCTTAGACATTTTGTGTAGTAGTATTCAATTTCTAAATCAAAATCTTAACGTGTCAAGACCCAGAAGCCTCAAGTAGAGCCAAACACAAGATAAAGAGTTCAAACACAGCTTTATTGTACAAAAATAGTCTTTTAAAGCACTTAACTTCAGTGCATAGAGTCAATGTAGCAATTTGGCATCAAAAATGCAGTAATATCAGTAACAAAAATATAACCTGGATTATAATGCTGTTTAATCCAGATTAAACTCAAAGTTCAGCAATCTGCTTGAAAATTAGCACAGCACAAAAACACAGTCACAGAAGATGAAAAACGGAAGTCCCAAAAATGATGAGATGTTCAAGCACAAAGTTAGCAGAGTTTAAAGTTCCAGAAGTCAAAAGCGAAAGTCAAACCGGTCCGTGGTCAAGCCGTAGTAAAAGGTAAACACAGGAATGCAGGAACGCAGGAAGCTGTAGCCCAAGGACCCAAGCTAGAGAGTTGGCAGCAACAAAGATTTATGTCCCATAAAGACACTTTGCCTTCTGCAAAGTATCATTCAAACAGACCCCACTTTTATCCTAGATCTCCTCATTAGAGGATGATGAGCTCCCCACCCTTTCCTCATCGCTCTCAGCTGCATCCAACCCCGCAGCTGAACCCGAGCGCGCATCCCTCCACCTCTGCCAGCGTCTGCCAAGACTTAGATCTTGCCAAGTGCTCCCCGGTTGCCAATCCCCTGTGAACCCCTCAAATTCATCACTGGAGGTGGGTTGGTTACAAATGTCCCTTATCTGTTGAACACGGGTCCAATCCAGCTCCTCCTCCTCCTCTCCCATATCACTCCCAGACCCATCACTCCTTTCAAACCCCATGAAATCCTCGTCCTTTGTAGGAGCGCTAAGTATTTCCTGGATGCGCTTCCTCTGAAGCTCCTCATCGGACTCTGGATCGCGAGTAGCCCTCTTTACTCCCCTGCTCTCCTCCCCATCTCCCATTTCACAATCAGAGAAGCCCTCAAACGTCTTGGAATCACTTGGGGCCAATATTATTTCCCTAATGCGTTTCCGCTGTTGTTCCCCCTCTGTCTCTTGCGCAGACCTCTTCTCCCTCCCTCCTGGTAGTAGGAACGTTACCATCTCGCTGAACTACAACATAACGGTTATGAATTGGCCAAAATAATAATAGAATCTATTTGCAAGATTTTGCAGGATTTACGAAGTGCGTCTTCTGGAGTTTCGCTTCCATGTTAATTGCAATTTTAAATTGGCTCTTAATTGTGAGTAAATATATTTAAGCAGCAGGTTATAAGTCTGATAAAAAATTAATTTTTTTCTCTCATGTCAGAAGCTGATTCTGAGGAATTGGAAAAGGAACTGGACAGTCTCCTCTTGGACTTCTCGAAAGATGACCTGGACCTGCCTCCTGTTCCAGAGAAGCCATTGCTTCATGCGTCTGTCCTGCTTCCCAGTATCTCAGATGCGGAGCTTGAAGCCGAATTGGAGAAGCTCACATTTTCAGATGGAGGTATATACACTTCCTTTTCATGTTTCCTTTCCATGTATGCAAATAGCTCCCTTCAGCACACACATACATATACACCTATACACACATATATATATGCACATACATGCACATATATACACATATATGCATATACATAAGCACACACATATAAGCATATAAACACACAAATATATACACATGTATACACACACATATATATGCACACAAACATGCATATACACAAACTAACCGTCCCCTGCCATGTGTTGCTGTAGCCCAGTCTGTGTATGTGTTTTGTATGTGTATATATTTGTGTATATGTGTATATTAGACTTGGTCAATCCATGGTTCTAAATGGTTCTAAAGTACTTACAAAACTAAAGTTCAGGTGGTGAAAATTTCAGAACTCTAACAAAATTCTCAAAAATTCATAATAAATGGCAGTTCCTAATTGGTTCTGTCATTAAAATCACCAATAATGAAGTAATAATTAAATTTTGAAAGTTTTGTTAGAGTTCTGAAATTTTCACCACCAGAACTTTAGTTTTGTAAGTACTTTAGAACCATTTAGAACCATGGATTGCCCAAGTCTAGTGTATATATGTGGTTTTGCGCATGCATTGTAATGTATTTTGTTTTTTTGCTTTTTAAGTCTCTTCTGCTATGTTTTTATGAGTGATGGTCACTCGTTGGCCTGATAGGTGTGTTGTTTCCAAATTTGGTGTCAATTCGCCTAGTGGTTTTTGAATTATGTTAATCCTACAAACAAATATTACATTTTTATTTATATAGATATAAACACACACACAAACACATATATACACACACACAAAACACATATAATCTTACTACAGCTGCAGAACCGCCTTCTTTCACCTGCGGCAGGCTAGATGGCTGGCCCTCTCCCTGTCCAGGGACGACCTAGCTACGGTGATCCAGGCTACGGTCATCTCAAGACTGGACTACTGTAACACTCTCTACATTGGCCTTCCTCTGTCGGTGATCCGGAAGCTCAAGCTGGTACAAAATGCAGCTGCTCGGCTTCTTGTGGGAATTCCGATGAGATGCCACATCACCCCAATCTGACTGCAGCTGCATTGGTTACCCATTGAGCACCGGATCACTTTCAAAGGGATGGTACTCACCTTGAAGGCCTTGCATGGTCTGGGGCTAATAATGTACCTGAGGGACCGCCTCACCCCCTACCAACCCCAGAGATCCCTTCGTTCTGAGGACCAAGATCTAGTGGAAGTCCCCAGTGTCAAGGCCTTGCATCTAACAGCAACCAGACGCAGAGCCTTCACAGCAGTGGCACCATCGCTCTGGAATACTCTGCCACCTGAAGTCTGTGCCTTGCGGGACTTACCAGTTTTCCGCAGGGTGTGTAAGATATACCTGTTTCGACAGGCCTTTGATTTTTGGTATTGCTGTTTTTCAATTGTTTTAAATTGTGTTAGATTTTAGCTGTTCTTGTAAGCAGGGGAGTGGTGGCATATAAGTTCGAATAATAAATAAATAAATATACACAGACAGGGTCACAGCAAAGTGTGGCAGGAGACAGCTAGTATTATATATACATATAACTTGTATGCAGCTCTGAGTGGGGTATAAAAGGGTGAAAGAGTGGAGGTATAAAAATAGTAAATAAATACATAAATATGGCAGGATAGACTCATATAATCCAGATCAGTGCATTACAGAATTTTTGGGCTTGCACAAATCTTGGCCCGGCTTTTTAAATTTTTTAATTGTCTTGAACAGGCAGGATTACTTTTAATATATGTGTGTGTTATGGAGACCATTTTTATGCTTATGTTTTGTTTTGTTAATCTTATGGTTATGTTGTTTTTTTACTTTGTATGTTTTATGATGTTACCTGGGAACCGCTCTGAGTCACCTTGGGGAGATGGAGCGGTATATAAATAAATTATTACCCTGCTTACCTGTCCGAACGTATCTCTCCTTATGAACCTTCTAGGAATTTAAGATTTTCTGGGAGGCCCTGCTCTCGGCCCTGCCATCTGCACAGGCTCGATTGGCGGGGACGAGGGATAGGGCCTTCTCAGCGGTGGCCCCTCGGTTGTGGAATGCCCTCCCCAGGGACATTAGATCAGCCCCCACCCTCTTAACATTTCACAAAAAAGTTAAAACTTGGCTATATGAGCAGGCCTTCCCAAACGTAGTGTAGCTATTAAACTCTGATCTCGGAACGGTTGGACAACGTGGCTGGATCATGACTGGTAATGAAATGCGGAGGACTTACGGTTTTTATGGTGTTACTGATGTTAATTGTAATGAATTTTTACCTGTGTTAAACGTTTTTAATATTTAAATTTTTTTGTACTGTTGTGGGATTCGAATTGTGCCGTTTTGTAAACCGCCGTGAGTCGCCCTCGGGCTGAGAATGGCGGTATAGAAGCATAGTAAATAAATAAATTATTATTATTATTATTATTATTATTATTATTATTATTATATGAGTCCATTCTCCTTGAATCCTTGGAGAAAGGTTTTATAGCAATGTCCCAAATAACTAAAATAAATAATAAATATGAGTCTATACTGATCATATAATGCAGTGCAAACTGTATTATATGGCAGCGTATTTTTTATTTTATTTCGGTTACTTCTACCCCGCCCTTCTCACCCCGAAGGGGACTCAGGGCGGCTTACAAAGGCACGATTCGATGCCGACATCACCTAACAGTAGTATAAAACAATCTAGCAGCAATTAACAGTGTCTGCATTACAACAATAAAACCAATAAAGCCAATAAAACCGATTACACCTCATTAACAGTCAGCGTTCGCCATTTTATAGTCCAAATTCCAATTCCACTTTGTCAGTCCTGTCAGTCCTAATCGTCTGATTGTCCTTATCTAGTTGTCAGATTGCCCAAAGGCCTGGTCCCACAACCCTGTCTTTACTTTCCTCCTGAAGGAGAGGAGGGAAGTTGATGACCTAATTTCCCCTGGGAGTGAGTTCCACAGGTGAGGGGCCACCACTGAGAAGGCCCTGCTCCTCGTCCCCACCAACCTCACTTGTGATAGCGGTGGGGTTGAGAGCAGGGCCTCCCCAGATGATCTCAAATTCCGGGGTGGGACGTAGAGGGAGATGTGTTCGGACAGGTACGCTGGACCGGAACCGTATAGGGTTTTGTAGGTCAAAACCAGCACCTTGAATTGTGCTCGGAACTGGACCGGCAGCCAGTGGAGCTGACACAGCAGGGGGGTGGTGTGCTCCCTGTATGACGCTCCGTTGAATAATCTGGCTGCCGCTCGCTTGACCAGTTGAAGTTTCCGAACAGTCTTCAAGGGCAACCCCACGTAGAGTGCGTTGCAGTAGTGTAGATGGGGCCTGAAAGAAAACCCAATTTCGCTTCTCTCCACCAACACCTCTTTTCTTTTTTGTGCTTCTCCTCCATTACAGGATTGGAACAAAAGACTCATTCAGACCCTTCTGGGCCCAAAAGAGCTCTGGAACTGCATCTTTAAAGACTCTGTACCACCTTAAAAGCTATAAAGATGTCTTATCTTTGCTGAACATAACTGCAAAATAACTTGTGGAATGTGGGATAATGCCCCTTCTTACTAGACAGCACTTTTGTGAGAGGCAGGATGTACTGCCCCGACAATCCGTCGTCCTCTTTCGTGCCGATCCCAGCTGCCGTTGCCGTTGTCTTTTCAGTGCCAAACTACTATGTCTCTGGTTGCGTGTGTCACCCGTGTTTGCCCTTCTCTGGCAACACAAGCTCTCCTCCTGGGATTGTAATGTCTCACCTGACATCTGCCAATTTAACAGAACTTATTCTAGTTGTGACGGCCGTTACGGAAAATCGGAAGTGCCGTTCACTGTTCTCCTGGCATCCAGTTCGTGTGAGTGGTTGTGCAAAACATTAGGTGCACCTAAGATCCTAACTGTGGTAGCCAGCTGTCGGCAACAGATAGACACGCGCGTCGGTGGTCTTTCTCTCCTCTCTTATTTGTGTTTTGCACGGTCGTGGACAACTTAGGTGTGTGCCAGTTTTGACGTAGGAGACTTCTAGTCGCTGTTCCTGCACAGGGATAGCATCGCCAAACACAAAGTTCGACTTTCTCCCTTTTTCTTCAAAAATTAGTATAGCCTTAAAGGGTTCGGAAACAAAGTTATTTTCTGTTGATGCTTTGAATATGGTAAAAATCATTCGATGTTGGGAAAAAAGTGCCGGTCGGCTTACCTGCAAGAAGAACGGACGCTGGGCTCTCCTGCAACATTTAGTGCTTCCTTTCGTGCTCTCAGGGGTTCGGTCGAAGTGTATCGGTGGTGGATTTGCATCCCTTGAGAAGTGCACCTGCGTTGGGAGCCCTTCAGAAATAGCAGAGCCTTAGATTGATGGCTTTGCACATTGACAACTTACCTACAGGATGCTGCTGTTTAACTTTTGACATGGAAATAAATTAATGTTTGTGGTGGAAAAGCGAATGGATAACATGCCAGATCGGAATAGTTTTTCATTACCTGGGGAGTGGGGGGGAGTGCAATTGTTTGTCCCTTTTGCAGATCACCTGTGTACACACATGATAGGGCAGGCACTCAGCCTGTTTTTGATGTCAGTTGCTTGCTTTGTGGGCAAAACACTAAGCGTCCGAGGAAACTGCAAATTGCCTGCCAATCAGTGCCCTGTACCGTTCTCTGAAATACACAAAGGATGGGAACTGGATGTAACGAGAAGCAGTGGCTGTCTATAAGCATACCACTTATTCTGTAATGGATTATGTGCTCTTAGGCATAATGGCCTTCTCGTTCTTTGACTGAATGAGCTTTGATTTCGTCAGTGTAGTAGGAAATGTTTTATGAGGGAAAGAAAAAAGTGGCCAGAATTGGGAGAAGGGAAATAGCGTGTGTCTTCAGAGTGTGGTTCCCCACAAGCTCCTCCTGGGCCGCTTTACCTCTGTCTTACACAAATGATCGCCTCACATGGCCTTGTGGTTGAAAAGCAGATGAAAAGGTTGTGTTAAACAATTTTGTGTTGTTCTTCACTTTTTTAGATGAGAGGAAAGAAAAGAAATTATTGTTTTTTCTTAAGCCACTGATACAATAAAGGGGAGGAAAAAAACCTCAGTCTCCTAGTCTCTTTTGTTGTTATAATACCATCCATTTTGTATATATATTCTCCTGCATTACGTAACTTTGTCATATTGGATTGCCTGTTTAATATTGTTATGATGCCAGGGCTCTGCCTTATTCAGGTAGAGATGAACCAAACTCCCAGTTTGTATCAAACAGTTTAATTAAAACAGCACTTACTTTCTGGCTGTTTTAATAGTCCAAAATATAAACATAAAGATTGCACTCAGTCACAGAATATAAAACAAAAACAGCAAACACTGTTGCAGGTTCAAGATAACTCTGTAGTCAAAAGGTCCAGTCTAGTGGTCAAACGTCGAGAGTTGAATAAACAAAGTCCAGGGATCAAGACTCTATACCGTAGTCAAAAGCCAGTCGAAAGGTTCCAGGATTCAGGAGACAGGTCAGGACACCGAAAATCCACAAACCTGGGGGAAAACCAGCAGCATCTACTATCAAGATAAGACAAATACTTGTCTGCTGAAGATCAGTCCCAAGGCTAACTCCTTATATCCAGAAACACCCAGCTGCAACCCATCTCTTGCATACCTCCACCCTTAATTGATTTCACCCATGAACTCTTACTTACAGATTACTCAACCCTTTAGAACAGTGGTTCTCAACCTGGGGTCCCCAGATGTTTTTAGCCTTCAACTCCCAGAAATCCTAACAGCTGGTAAACTGGCTGGGATTTCTGGGAATTGTAAGCCAAAAACATCTGGGGACCCCAAGTTGAGAACCACTGCTTTAGAACTAAGACTTACATTAACCCTTCCGTCACTAACCACCATCAACTGCAGAACATAATACATTACAAATATCAGGAATGAGGAAAAAATAATGTACCAATTGTTTCTTAGATCCCATATTGTGTCAATATGTCTTTCTTCTGGTCATTTGCGCAAAATCTGTTTCTCCCGTTTCCTTTTTTCCCCCTTTCTTTCGTTCCCACGGGAGCACAGAACGGGAAGGCCCCTTCCAGTACGAAAATTAACAACACGAAAGCAGGCAGGAGCAGGTACCGTCTTCAAGCCTGCTTTTAGGTATCAGTTACACCCCCAAGACAGAGATAGAGGAGAGAAGAGGGATTGTGCTCAGGGTGAAAGCTAGCCATCTTTGCCACCATTTCTCGCTGCCATTTCCCCCTTCAATTGGGAAAGTATGTGGTGCTCGGCTGCAGGCCCTAGCAGGCTCTAAACCAGGCATCCTCAAATTGTGGCCCTCCAGCTATTTGGGCCTTCAACTCCCAGAATTGCTGACAATTGAACAAGCTCGTTGGGGCTTCTGGGAGTTGGAGGCTGTCATGACTCATACCTTGGTAGGCCGAAGCCTAGAAGTCAGTAAGCTGGCCTCCATGTTAGGAAGGTAGTACAGTGAGGCAGACATCTTAGGAGAGGCAGATCAGCAGAGGGGAGGAGCTCAGCTATCCCAGAATTGGCTAGGACAGATGGGAGGAGCCAGAGCTGTGAGTGTAAAAAGGCAGGCAGCTTCTGACAGAGAGATTGGATTTTGATCTGAAGGGAAATGGGTGGATTTCTACTTTTCCTTTGAGAGAGTGTTTGGAGGCAGGTGTGTCTATAGGGATTGACCTGGAGGGTCAAGCTAGTCAGCTGTGGACTTGTGTGAGTGTTAGAACACAAGTTGTTTTTACTCTCTAGGGGACAGGGTATCTTAGCTATTAGGGATCTCTGTGAAGAGGGAAGCTAGATACTCTGGAGACAGCCAGGATTCGTGTATCAGAGGGACTCACTGCAACTAGGTATAGAGTGTGTTGCAATCCAGAGCAGGGAACGAGCCCCTAAGATAACTATCCACCACACTTGACTGTGAAAAAACAATCCTTTTTTATTGAAGAAAAATGGTTACAAAATAAAGGAAAAATGCAAGTCAAAAGCCACAGCAAAATCAGCAAACATGGATTTAAATGCACAAGAACAAAACCCAAAGCCACACTGTAAAATACTGGAACCTGTTAGTAATTCACTAACCGTACTTGATATCCTAGAAATCTTTCAAAACTATGGCCAGGGAACTGGGAGAACTGCCAAGGTCTTCATCAATTCTGAAACGATGCCTGAACTGAGAAAGTCAGCCCGGCGGAAGGCACTTCAAGCCAAAGAATTGGTTCCGTGAACCGCCCCTCTGCTTTGAAGCCATTGTTTGTAATTCTCTTAATCGGGAAGACCGAAGCAAGCTGAGTGATTTACTTCTGTCTTGCCAGATCTGGCCCCTTCTGTTCTCATTAGAGTTACCAGGTGCAAAAGGGAGTGAAAGTTCATGGCTTCCCTCTGAAACATTCTCATGAACTGTCGCGACCCAAGTAACAGAGATTGTCTTTAACAGCAATTGAGATGCAAAATAATAGTCTTTTAATGAATGACAAACTTAATGAGGCACTTAACAGCAGTGTGATAGCAATTCAAAGGTGTTTTCAGGCAAGAAAGTAAACAGTAGATAATCCGGATCTTTAACAGGCTTGAGTTGCAGCCAAAAGAAAACAGGAGATACAAGAGTTCGTAGCAAAAAGTAAAGCAAAATAGTCTCTAAGTAATGCAGAGTTCAAAGCAAGGTCCGATAGGCAAATGCGTAGTCCAAACAATTCCAAGGTCAGGAGCCAGACGTAAACACTCACGAAGGATGATTCCAAGGTCCGAAGAAGCACGGCAGGGAAACTGGATACTGGGAATCCAAGCAAGGTTAGGCAGAGTAACAACACATAAACAACACTTTGTCGTCTGCAAAGAAACATTTCTCAACGTGCCCATTTTATTCACTATCACTAGATTGAGATTCATTACTCCCATCTGATTCTCCTTGCGCAGCTGAAGCATCTTGGCCACGCCAATTCTGCCACCTTTGCTCCAGTGCCTGATCCTGCCAAGATGACCCCTCTTTCCAGTGATCCTGAAAACCTTCAAATTCATCGCTGGAGGTTGCTTGAGTGCAAATGTCCCTAATGTTCTGAACCTGAGTCCAGTCTAAAGCCTCCTCCATTTCATCCTCACTAGCACTGGAATTGTCTGCTGTGTCTTTAAGCCTCTTAGACATAGTATCACTATCACTGCCAGATTCACTGGCCACCCTCTTTACTCCCCGGTAATCTGCTTCCATAGCATCCTCTGGGCCGAACCCTGCAAAGTCTTCCGAATCGCTTGGAGCCAGAAAGATCTCACGAATACGCTTCAGCTGGCGCTGATCCTCATCTGCCTCTGCATCACTTCTTCTTCTCCTACAACTAGTAGTAGGTAGTACGGTGCCAGAATGCTGAGTCTCAACATGAACACTGGTACTTTCATTTTCCAAATCTACAGAAGTTCCTTCCTCACTAATTTCAGGAACATTGGCATTTTCCAAACCTACAGAAGTTTCTTCCTCACTAATTTTAGGAGCATTGGCATCAAGAGGTACATTTTCATTAACATCAGTAAATATATTTTCATTAGCATCAGGAGGAACAAACAGAGAATCAGGTTCAAGTTCAAACTCAGGCTGAACCCCAACAGAGTGAGGGAACTTGCTCACGTTAAAGAAAAGAAACCCAGTTAAGGAAACCATCAAGCTTGTTAAGACCAAGAAACCGTTTAAGAAGATTGTGCTTTGTTAACCAAATACGCTTGTGTACCTCATAGAAGAAGTTAGTTGTGTGTTCAAGTATCGAGGGGGGGGGTTGGGGGTTCAACCCCCCCCCGAAATGTTTCAGATTTTTTAAAAAACCTGGTTTACTCATGAATTTTAACTGGTTAACCAAATCCCCGTGCTAAGTCTATGAGATGCAAAAAACCAAGAGTCCCTCCAGAACTGCAAGCACTATCTCAAGCAAATATTAGCAATTTATTCACACTGTCATTACTTGCAGCAATAGCCGATGTAGTTGTTCTGGTCCAGCTGTACCAGGAGCTCCAACTTTATTTGCTTTGTATTAAATGTTTGCTTGCAGTCCTAGGTTTCAGGGACTCTGCAGATAGGTGGCTTCTTTGGTTGCAGTCATAGGGCAAGTCACCTGTCCATCATTGTTAAGTTTTGGTCCCGCCCCTTGCTCAGGGCAATTGGGAAGGGAAGGGAGCCATTTTTAGTTAGTCTCAGCAAGGTAAGCTTATGTATAGGATGTGTGCAAGCTTCCCCTGTACAAAAGCTTCAACCCTTAAGACCTTCCGGGGAAGAAAGGTCTTAAGAGTCTCCAAAGAATTTCCAGGAAAACAGCCCTAAAGACCAAAGAACTCCAGCTGGAGAACATCTACTGCCTTGCTGGTAGGTCCACTCGGCGTTCGAGACGCAGTTCGACCCGGTAGCGGAGCCCACATCAGTAAGGGTTAGATTACAGTCAGCCTGGGAGAAGTTAAAAAGGGGGATTTTCCTTTAAAGAAGAAGTTATTGAAGACAGTTGCCTGTCCTTCGTGGGCAAGATTAGGAATTCACCAGTTGCCTAAAAGCTTGGAATCATTTGCTTAACTTTACTGAAGACAAGAGAAGTTTCTGTTTGATTGTTCATTAATAAAAGGCTTTGTTGTACTTCTCAAGCCATCTAAAGACTGTTTGTGGTGGAAACCTCTGAGAACTTCTCTTTGGGCCCCCTGGCTTCCCGCTGGGCAAAGGTTGCACATCCTGTTCTAAAGACAATTATTTACAGGCCCAGCGCGCGACAGAACAGTAGTGAAGCAACCAAGTTGGGGGGGGGGGGAATGTTGAATGCTCTCATTAAGGAGGCCAGACTTGGTGGAGGTGGTTGACAAGGGCGGAGCTGCAGGCTATTGAAGGCTGCTCTGCCCCCTGCTGTGCTCTTTGCTTCAGCGTGAGCTAGGAGGCAGGTTTCAACACCCTCCCCCGTGAAAATTACAACCCCCCCAAAAACAACGGGGTTTACCTCAGGCATAACATCAAGATAATTTCTCAAATCCATTTGAGTGGTGGCAGCAACTATACCA